GTACCCACTGTATACTGTATATATATATATATATATATATATATATATATATATATATATATATATATATAAATAAAACTGTCACTTTCAATTTATGACACAATTTAATGCATCCTTGCTTAATAAAAATAATTTATTTCCGCAAAATGAAATAAATAAAATAAAATCTTATTGACCGTAAACTTTTGAGCAGAGGTATAAATGTCCAAAGGTTTTTTTTTTCCCCCACTACACAAATATGTGTTCCTTTCCAATACTAAAATGGGTGTTTTTCTTACCCTTTGACCTCAGAGTGCAATGAGACAGAAACCAAATAAAACAAATATGAAAAAAGGGGGTTCTGCAGGGACCCAGCAAATGCTCATTAGCAGTCATCCGGTACCACTTAAAAGAATATGATCCTCTCATTTTGACAGCTATGATTAAATATTCCCCTTTAAGTTGCACCCACGAGGTGCATGTTTTAAAATTCAAACTCTATTTACTGCAAAAGCATGACGTTAAAGGATTCAAATCAGAAGGAAGTGAAAGGGCTAATTAATGGGGTTCTTGAAAGCCCAGGATTCGGTTATCTGGGGATTGATTAGGGTCAGCTGAAAATAGCGGAGGCAAAGCCTCCGGTAAAACAAGACAAAACAAACCATGACCGTGTCGATTGTTCTCGCTGTTCCTCCGCAGGGAGGGGTGCGTGGTGGGGTCCTAATAAGGGAGTAACTATACATGAATGGATGTGAAAATGTATGGGCTGACTTCTTCGGTTACGCTTTAACTGTCAGTAAACTATATGTTTTCCACTTCTCTACTCTAACATGACCCTGATTCATTACTTTTAATTGTGTGCAAACATCAAGTGTCAAATATTTTCTGGAATTCTGCCTTCGCTCACAAAGTCGGGTTTAAATCCTTTGTGCTGTTTTCAAAATTCCAACATATAATGTCCTTCCAAGTCCCGTCCCTCTCTAATGGGGGTCTCAGCGGCACAGCTCTGGTGATGAGCAGGGTGCAGGAGGAGTTGTGGAACCAGTCACGATCCTTGCCAGCACAGTGTGGTGATGCGTCAGTGCCTGCGTCTTTTTTACTTGGTCATTAGTGCCCGCTGCACAGTCTGGGAGGAACAAGAGATGCACAAATATGTCTGGATTTCAAGACAAGCCACAGAGGGAAAAAAAACAAAAAAACATTGCGTAACTGCCTTCGGAGAATGATCACCTGAAAGACAAAGGTCCAGCAGAGGGAAAGCCCATGCCAGGCCATGTGACTGTCTGATGTTGTACTATAGTCTTCACTGCTCTCTTTTTTTTTTTTTTGAAAGAACATGCGCCTGTTGGGAACCGTGAAAAACAAGGTTGCACTCTTAGGTAAATGGGCTTTTTGGAAGCAAATTTAAGCCCTCATCACATGCACCTACAAACAGCTGCCCTCTCTGACCATACGCCCCGGTCAGCGCCTGCAATAAGACAGTCCTGTAATCCAACAGATGAAGACCTATCCAGGCCACATGGAGATTAACAATCTGCAACCAGTGATGATGACAAAAAGAGAGGCTGGGAAAAAAAAAGGAAAAAGGATGAAATGGGACACACTGTCAGAGATAATCCAAACCCCTTCTTATTTTTCCAGCAGCTCTTGCCCTGTGTAAATCCCAATTTAACTCGGACCAAAGCCAACATTTACGAGGCACGGATGTTAACAGCGCTAATCCATCTGTGTTTTGCTCAGTTTTGAAGAGATTACACAATGGCCGCTTTTGTTACTGATACAAGAGTAGGTGAATGACAGATACATAACACAAACAAACATCACAAAATCCCCGTGCCAGCATCAAACTTCCACACCGGTGGTCTTTTCGGTTGTTAATCTGATTTATGGGTGTTTTTTGGTAAGGAAAGATGTCATCGCTGCCAAGAGATGAGTAAAGAGTCATGGGAGAAATATGTGGCTTGAGCAACAGTTTCTTTTTTTTTCCTCTGCCCATGGCAGATGAGGTAGAGATACAATGCTGTTTGGTTTCCACTCATACCAAGAGGAGGTCTAAAATATGGGGAGTGGAAGATATTTAAACTTCAACAAAAACCACAGAGCAGTCCTGCGGGCAATAAAATATTTTCTCATCCCTCCCCCATCCTGTGAACAAAACTCAACGACAAGACATTTTTTTTTCTGTTGCCATCTCTGCAATTGAGATTCTGTTCATAAAAACTTTTCAAACTTTTTTTTGAAAGGAATCGAACACCGATGTCACAGACAATATTCTAGCAGTGGCTTTCCCCAAGACTGAATTTGAGAAACAATGAGATGATGTTGAGAAATATTTCACAAGCATCGAGGGGGTCGATGGACACATTACACGCTTAGAACTGCTCTGAACCAGTGGTCTATCTAAGCATGCTGTACCAAAACAAGCATGTTATCCATTTTCCATGCCTCTGCCGTACTGTCAAACAATTCCCTGGACAGTCCAAAGCAAATAAGTCACAGAATGGTAGTTGTATACAGGTTGATGTTTGAGGCACTTTCATGTCGCACATGTTTGAAGTCTGCTGAGAAACAAGGTTCTCACACTACATTTCTGTGTGAGTGCATTCTTTAGTGGGAACAGTGAAAACTAAATAAATAAAATAAAAAAACGGATAAAAAATTATTTCTGCATGAAAATGATCAACAGTCTTCTAGAATTCTATTCTGCAGTTTCTACAATTGTATGAAATACAGTGTCACTTCAACTACAGGCACTTTTATGCTAAATATCACTTAAAACATAGAAACTTTTTATGATGCCTTAGTTATTTATTTTTGCTACTTTTCAAATGTATTTTATTGCTATACCCTTGTCTCAGACTTATAAAAATTAATTAAAAAAACAAGACATTTTAAACTCTGATTTGATTAGTTATCCAATTTACGCCAAAAAAGTTCCGTCATTCAACCACAGAATGTAATCAAACACAAATGTTGTGGGAGTGTTTGTTTTAACAAATTATATATATTTTGCAAGTCCACAAGATCAAAAGTGCACTAAGTTTATAATAAAACATATTTAAAATTCATTTTAATTATATATGAAGAATCAGTCAGTTATTAAAAAAAAAAAAGATAATGAAAAGAACTAGTGAAATATTGAAAGCATTTTGTTAAATCAAATTTTCCATAAATAAATGCATGTTAAATGAACTCTTGATGAATAAATGTTTCTGATGTTATCATAAAGGTCTTACCAGCGATGTGGCCAGACAATGTGGAGTGGCCGAAGAGTCCCTCTCACATCGCCACATGGATGAGACACTGGCTGATTCTGCAACGTCTTCTGGTACTGCTGTGGCCCTGCCACATTGAGAATCTCCTCAGGTGGCTCAGAGTCTATTGTGAGCTCTGGACAACTGCAGGGGTTTATAAGGTCATAAGTTAGGCCCCCATCAATTACTCATAGTCACTCTAGAAATAATCAGTCTTGGCCATTTTAATGTCTTCAGTGCTACAGTGCGTTACCTTGGAGCTGATGTTTGAACGTGGCTTTGAGTAGCTGGAGCGTGGATATCATCACACCGCACTGAATGCCTGAGACGTTTGTGTGCAGGGAGGAATCTGAGGACGAAAGGGAAAAAGCCTAATAAAACAACATAAGAGAAACTATGGAAAAACTGTTAAAAAATAGAAATAACAACAACAACAAAAAAAACATGATGACTGTAAACACATTCCTAATTCAAAGCTGTTTTTCTCTAACCTTTGTTGATTTCTATAATAAAAAACAACATAAGGACCAAATAATTCATAGGCAACACCAGTTGGAATATTACATGTTTGAGCAAAATAAACAAAAAAGGTAACTAAAACCACATTTTAAAAAAGAAAAAAAAAAGGGCCTCATGTGGCATTTCTCTCTCCCCGGTCTTAAAATATGTCGAGCACACAACCGGACTTATGTATTTTACAACCACGACGATTATTACAAGTTAAAGGAGTTAAAACAAGTCCCATTTTCACATAATTCACTGCCAAAAGCAAGCCATAAAATGCAGAAAGCACTTTCTCCGTTCTCTGCGACTGCACAGCTCTTGCGCTGCCTCTACAGCACCGCGAGTCCTAATTGTAGGTTGTGTGATGGAAGCAAGCCAATTAGCTGCTTGAGAGCGAGATTCCCCCATGCTTACTGACACGCTATTATTTTTTGCAGTGGAGCAGATGCGAAGGCACTGCTAAAATTTTAAATAACCTACCTTGTACTCTCTTAAAGAGATAGTTCACCCAAAAATGAAAATTATGTAATTAATTATTACAATGCAATGATTAAAAGCTTGTGTTAATGCACAACACTTTAGCTGCTATTGAGGTGAGATACGGGTGAGGTTAGGGACAGGTTTGGTGGTATGGGTAGGTTTAAGGGTTGGTTAAAGGGTCAACAGTGTACAGGGGTCAATTTGAATATTATAAGGTAACACGGTTCAAACTGTTTATATTATATTGATAAATGGACAAGTATTTTCTTTTTAAAAAAATATTTGTTTCCCCCTGTTTATTTATAATTCAAGGAATAGCTATCCTGTTTAATGATATACTGAAGAGTAGTATACTAATGTGAGTGTTCAGGCAATAAAAACTTATTTTTTTGCACCTAAATTACAATCTGTTATGTCTTTAGCAAGCATTTAGCTAAACTTAACTAGCCACCCTTTACACAAACCTTTATACAGTACCTAAGTCCAAAATCCATAAAGATACAAAATGATTAGTAATCGTTTATAAACATTTACAAATGATGAATCATTTTAACTTTAGATTGGCAACTGCAAAAACATGAACAGATTATTAATAAATGATTAGTAAAGATGTGTGAATAGTGTAAATTCAGGTCTTACGGGACACTTTTTGACACTGAGATGACTGCTCATAAAGGTACTAATGATTAGTAAACATTTATAAACATTTGCAAATGATGAATAGTTTTCACTTTAGATTGGATGCTGCAAAAACATGAACAAATAATTAATAGATTATTTGTTAAGACGTGTAAATGGAGGTCTACAATGATATACTGAAGAGTAGTATACTAATGTGAGTGTTCAGGCAATAAAAACTTATTTTTTTGCACCTAAATTACAATCTGTTATGTCTTTAGCAAGCATTTAGCTAAACTTAACTAGCCACCCTTTACACAAACCTTTATACAGTACCTAAGTCCAAAATCCATAAAGATACAAAATGATTAGTAATCGTTTATAAACATTTACAAATGATGAATCATTTTAACTTTAGATTGGCAACTGCAAAAACATGAACAGATTATTAATAAATGATTAGTAAAGATGTGTGAATAGTGTAAATTCAGGTCTTACGGGACACTTTTTGACACTGAGATGACTGCTCATAAAGGTACTAATGATTAGTAAACATTTATAAACATTTGCAAATGATGAATAGTTTTCACTTTAGATTGGATGCTGCAAAAACATGAACAAATAATTAATAGATTATTTGTTAAGACGTGTAAATGGAGGTCTACACAACAAACAAAGACCAACAAATGAAGATCATACGAACTGAAAGTTTACTAACATTTCTAAGTATTTCAATTTACATTAAATAATCATGTGTTAATCATTATGTCATGTTTAGTAGGTTCATTAGTAAACATTAACAAGAACATTATCTCATGTTTCTAGCTGTGAATATATATTAACTAATGATCTGTTAAGCATTATATAATGTTTATTAATGATTTATAAATGAAAGTTATTATAACATTTTGCCAAATAGGATAAAATAAAATATAGTACAGTTTATTAAACTGACTTGAATAAATTGGATGTCCTAAGTGGCACTTATACGTCTATTTCAGAGAGCCAAAGTCTTTGTGGTGTAGGGAAGCAATACAACATGACGAACTACTAACCGATTTAGCACGACTTCCCACAATATGTTTATAATATAGGTGGATCCTTCCAAGTGCTGGAGAACTCATCGACTTCAAAACAAAGGGGGTTGTAAAAGCAGTCGAGTGTAAAGAGAGTTTTTCTCTTGAGTTACATACAGATGGCCGCCTTGACTCACCACAATGTTGGGTGTATTTCTACCGCTCACTTTTTCCGAGTTAGTTGTGTACTGGTCATAAATGATTACACGAGAAGAGAAAGCAAAAAGGTTTTTGTTTTTTTATTATCTTTTTTTCCCCCTATATTCTCATTGATTCTTTATCTTCTCAACTGTGTTCAGAGCGTTTCTGGGTACAGGACACAAGTGTGCATGTGTTTGTGCATTTTGACTGCACTTTCATCTAGATGAAAACAAGTACGGGAAGCGTCAGTCAAACACAGATAGGTAAATTGTAGTTTGAATGGAAGAACTTTCAAAGAAAGCTGTTAAAGCCACAAAATAAACGTCCACAGAGCATTCGCCGTTCACTCTTTTGAAGTTGTCGTTTCAGACGCAATGCTCTAATCCCGTACCCATTTCAGTAAATATGCATTCAGCAGCAATCAATGGCCATCCAAATATGAAACATCCAAATATGCCATTATTATTCTCTAAACGTCCCTGAGAAAGACAGAGTATCAATGAGAGCAGTCACTCAGCAGTTCACCTCCATTAGATTAGCCATTGATAAAAGTGCCAGGGAAGAGTTTCGCAATGGATGAATTAACTAACAGATGTGGACAGGAGAGCCAGGCTACATAAAGCTGCACTAAAGAGATGACAAGAAGGTGGTTGCGGCAAGGTATGAGCGATGGAGCTGCCTCACAAGCTGGGAGGAAAATTTCATTTCGAGGGCCATTTTGAAAATTACATGAGGAGGTTTTGACTAGGCAATAAAAACACAGCCGTGTCCACCGACAGGAGAGGGAGAATGCCACCAATTAACTTATTTATAAATCAGGCGCAATTTCAGTGATGACTTTTACCTTGCATTTGATTAAATGTGAAAGGATGGTTGGGGAAAATAGGGAGGAAAGAAAATCAAAGTCAAAAATCATTTCATCTAATTTCCTTTATTGGCAATAATCACAAGAGGTCTCTTTTTTTCCCAGGCTAATGAAAAATTCCATTGATCTTGAGGTTGGCCGTTGCAAGGGCTCAGAAGTGGAGAGAGGTGAGACATGCAAACTTTCTCCAGCGGTTCAGGCAGTTCTTCTGGGAGACTCAGGACAGCTTAAAGGAACTGGGTTCATTACAAGTTAAGCTTAACAGGCTAAATTTGCTCCATAAAAATTACAAAATTGACTCCTAATTTTTTTTTAGTCGAGATAACAATGAGGTACTTACAATCGAAGTAAACAATGCCAGGGCCAAGTCCATTTTTTTTAAAAGCACATTATTTGAATTATTGAATTATTTGTTGGGTAACACTTTACTTGAAGGGGTGTGCATAAGACTGACATGGCACCTTCAAGTAAAGTGTTAAAAGGAGGTTTTATGCATGTTTATGACAACTGTCATTAAGTGTTATTCGCTCAGTTATGTCATTTTTAATGCAAATATGACATTATTTGACCTAACCCTAACCCTAACCATAGCCCATAACAAAGACATCTCAAACAATGTCATCTTTGCATTAAAAATTACGTAACTGAGCGAATGACACTTAATGACAGTTGTCATAAACATGCATAAAAAAAACCTTCATATTCATGTTATGTGTCATGTCAGGATTATGTAGGTGTCATGTCATCATTATGAAGGTGTCATGTCAGTCTTATGCACACCCCTTCAAGTAAAGTGTAACCATTTGTTGATTATGGCAAATATTTAACCCATTGAGTGCACTATATTTTGGAGAGAGCTTTCTCTTTGAGAGTGCAAGTTGGATTGAGCTGCAACAAATGATATCAGAAAAAAATTACAGCAACCTTAGTTACCGTTACTAGTGACATCACTGCCATTTTGTAGACATGACTACAAAATTGAAAGATTACATATAACTTTACACAGAAGATTTTACTAACCAATTCTATTGCATTAGTCCCATATCAACATGTATACTACAGTTAAAAATGTTGAATATTTTTATTGAGCAAGGATGCATTAAATTGATCAAAAGTGATGGTAAAAACATTGATAATGTTACAAAAAAAAATATTTTAAATAAATGCTGTTCTATTTACATTTCTGTTCATCAAAGAATCCTGAAAAAATAATCATGGTTTCCACAAAAATATAATAAGCAGCAGAACTGTGTTCAACATTGATAATAATATGAAATGTTTCTTGAGCAACAAATCAGCATATTAGAATGATTTCTGAAGGTTCAACAAAATAGACTGGAGGAAAGGCTCCTGAAAATTCAGCATCGTATCACAAGAATAAATTACATTTTAAATGATATATATAAAAGAATATATATTCACAATATTACATTTTTTTCTGCATTTCTGATCAAATAAATGCAGCCTTGGTGAGCATAAGAGACACTGATCAAAGAAAACATTAAAGATCTTAGCCAGCCCAAACTTTTGAATGGTACTGTACAATATTTAAATACAGTGGCTATAAGCTGTGTATGCTAACAAGCCCATTTATGATGCTGTAACCATTATTTTTCTTTTTTTCTTAAAGTTTAAATAATTTTCTGTGGTAACAGACATTAGGCC